TTGTAGCCGTTGTAAGGCTGCATGCTCATCACCTACTCCATCTAATTTATTTTTTATTAGAAGGACGTATTAGAATGTCTACTTGATGAGGTTTCACATAGATATGAGCTCTCCGATAGTTGTGTTGTATGAATATAGTAGGTGATAGCTAATTTAATTGCGTTGCGAATTGCAATAAAGGACCAAGTGATTGCGTTGTTACCATACCAGACGTCGAGTTCAAGCATGTTCATCATTGAAGACTGTTGTAGGACTTAAGGTGTGTTTACATAATCGGAGATAACTTGGAATACGCTTCAAAGATATTAAATTGTTTGAAATATTGCATTTGAAGAATAATTTATCGTAAATGGTAATATATTGTACATGATACATTTTCCTTTTGGCTTGAAATCTCACCCTTAAATACTCACATTATTGTTCTCTCACTATTTCTTGTCTCGTCTTCGTTGATTGACTCAATGGGAACATGAAAGAATGATGTTGCATCCATCATCAAGGGATATCATTGCTTACCAAACATTCAAATTATGAAGATAAGGCTCTGATTTAGGTAATTATGGTTTGTTTTGCCACCCATTACTCGTGTAAATTTTGTAAGCTTCTTTAAAATGTTACAAGTGAAGTGAATTTTGTTCCGTCGAAATAGAGAGGTTAGGAAGAGAAATAAACACATGTTTATGGTTTAAATATTATAAGTTTAATGAACCATTGTCTTTCAGCTCTTTGCAGTGTTCATTATAAGAAATGAACGTTTCAAAGCTGTATTTTTTCTCAGAAACACGAGGATATTTACACTCAATGTTATCGTTTTCAAATGTATTGGAATTATTTTTAATTTTCATAAATAAAATGGAATCAGAATAAATATTTTTATTAGCTATTGACTCCAGATTTATTATCTGATGTAACTAAGGTGCTATTATGTGTCCAACCAATATTATATTCACTATTTGTTTTGAAAGAAAACAGGGTTGAAAATAATGGATATGAGGTAAGAAAAAAAAGTTTATGTACCATCAGAGCCTTCCATCACAGCATTCGTGATGAAATATAGAATTTAAAAATGTTCCTTGAAATTTCCTCTGCGAATTCATGAGGTAAATTTGCAAGAATACTCCGACAATTTGTATTTCGTACATTGGTTAGTGTTCGCTCTCACTTGAGCTCATAAGCAACGAGAGCCTCCTCCGTCGTTGTCAGTGACGGGAAAAGCTCCATGGCGATAGCGCAAGAAATACGGCCTGCGTCTCTGCCATCGCCTCTGCCTGAGCTGCCGCAACCGTTTGCCACTTGCCACTCTGCCTCTGGTGCTCCTCCACATCTCGCTGTTCTTCACTGCCGTCTCATCATTCATACACATGTGATACTCTGCCTGTTTGTATCCCCGTCACCGCCGCCACAGCGTCCACTGCCGTCTCCACCTCCACCGCCTAGGCCTCCGTCTGAGTGGCCTGCGTCTCCTCCTACATCTCTACCATCGCCTCTGCCATCAGCTCGACCTTCTACTCCTCTTTTCCAGCTACCTCCATCTTTGCCTTCGCGTCTGCCTTTACCTTCGCTTTCATCGTTGCTTCAGCTTTCAAATTCGCCTTCGTCATTGCTACCTCCTTCATCTTCATCTTCGCTTTCTCCTTTGCTCTCTTTTCCATTCACCTCCGCCTTTCCATTTGCCTCAGCCTTGTGCCTCAATGAGCCGGAGAAGCGTCGCGAAGAAGTGCTCTTTGAACCCTCCCTTCTGGACCTTAACATTTCGTTTCGTGTTTGGATACCTTAGAATTAAATGTACTATCATGATATAAATATTGTTTTTGTTCAATATGTTGCTCTATCGTTGCATTAGAAGGAAATAATATCCTACGTTCTTGCCTGCAAATTAACTGACTCTTCATCTTCATGATGACGCAATGGAAATTCGATTTAATATAGATAAGATGTTGATATTTACAAACTAGAATTTTAATTTTTTTCTTCAAAAAAACGTGAAATAGTTAAATTTAACCCCTTTAGAATATGACGTTTTTTAGAAAATATACTAATTATATTCAACAGATGTAGAAATAAATGATAGCACAGTGAAGAAAAGATGAAATACTGAAATGAACTGCATAAACACATTTTTGAAACTAATTGCAGAATAAGAGATCTATTTAGAAAGAATGCATGAAAAAGAAAAAATTGCCAAGTGAAGTAGCAAGATTAGTCATTTAATCTTCTATTTTTCTATATTATTTTTAGATCTTTTAAATAAAAGAACGAGGCGAAAGTAATTTGCTCGTGTACATACAATACAACACATGTACGTACAAGGGTACATAAACAAAAGACATGGGGAAAGTAATGTTTTGTTTAGTGAAAAATAGTTTGAGAAAACAAGAGTACTCCAGTTTTATTTAAACAGCTAATCTATAAAGAATTTGGAAACGAAACTTTACAATAAACTAGAAACTTTAAATTGCTCAAAATGCGTGTAAGCTGGTGCGATATGTCACTAGGCTTATGCGAAGCAGCTTTCCTGGTGACTGATGACATTGTGTAGTCGAGTCCTGACGAAACCTAATGATTCTCCTATTTATCCGACGCCTCGCGCGGGGCTGCGATGCTACTTAGGTATCAGACTCCGCTCGCTCTGAATAGTGACACCCGCAAACACTCCTGGCGTCTTCATTGAGGCTCAGCGAGACGTCACGTGCTAATGCGCTCTGGCGTGGCCTGGCAGGCAGCGTGGGAGCGTAGCCGCGCAGGCGAATGAAATGCGTAACGACCTCTCCTCGCCTCCCGAGCCTCATCTCCCTTGAAGGGCTACAAAGCGCTGCTTTCCTTCTCTCCGCGTGGACGTCTTAAAGAACACTCGGCGCACCTGAGAGCACTTGTATTCATTCCACGTCTGCCCTATCCTCCATGCAGGTGACGGGTGATTAACAAAGTTACGTAAAACATAAAGTGAACTTTGTTTATATCGTGTCGTAAATATACACTAACGAATTGAAATTGTGTTTGTGTGCGTTTGCAAGTCTTACCTATTGCGGATAAGTCACTTTACGAAAATCCTTTTGCGACGTTTCTAAGGACTTTTTTATGTTGAAATGCTTGAAATTATAATTTACACGTAAGCAAAAAATTAATATCTTTTGTCTCTTACTTTTAGTGAGTTAAATTGTACATGTCACGCAAAAGTTATTTTAAGACAATAAAGAGAGATATTTAAAATTTTCAAATCTTATTTCTGTAAAAATAAAAATAAAAAAAATCACAAAGCATTATGAAGTTGCATATTTGCAGACGGTCACGTACCAAAACCTTTTTTAGAATAATCTATATGCAATCACTTGAATGATATTTCAAGAAATTTCGAAAATATTTGTTGAAGGAAAGTCAATTTTTATTTCAATAATTAATGTAATTCGGAAAAATAGAATGAAGGATTTTTTTATTTGAAAAAGTAGGAATTTATAAATACGTCAAAAACTATAAAAACTACGTTTTTGGTTGATGAGTGGGGTAGAAACTAAATGAAAGTCTATTTTTAATGGAAATAATAGTACAAAGGTACTTTATCTGGCTTTTTTAGTCACGTATAAATAGTACATTTTTAAAGCTCATTAAAAAATTAATAACTGAATAAAATAAATGAAATTTGAGTGTTTGTATACGCGTAAATTATTATTATAGGTAATATATATATTATATTAAGAAAACCACTATATGAAACATCAACGCTATTGAAAGTTTAGGCTTCCGCGGCTAGAGTCAGAATCTAATTGGCTGTCCGGAAGTCGTCGCGTCCTGCGTCGAAGTGCATTTCACCCTGATGGAGGTCGTAGCAAGAAAGCAAGGACGTTGGCATCTGTGCCTAGGAGGCGGCGTCCGCCGGTCAGCCAAGTAGATACCAACACTTTGGTTGCGCCCAATTCGAAGCTTCCCCTCTCTGGGAACTTGACATCTGATCCGCGATACACGTGCGTCCATCAAACCGTTCTGAAAGTCACTCGCTTGTCCTTTGGTCAAGAAGCTCAGCTTTCCCTGCACTCACTCTTCACCTTGCGTCTCTCTCTACCAGAAGTCACCCTCTCCCCACGAGCGGTTGTCACTATTCTGCTCGGTGCCAGCGACAGCGCTCGCGCTCGTTTGATGCAAGGTGGGCAGATCTGCTCTGAAAACTCGCAAGAGGAAACGGAGGTAACTGGAACAATACAAGAAAACACATTAGGGGTTTTTTCTCGGTTAAGGGTTACAGCAATCGACAGCTCTACCGATCATATACGCATGCGCAGTTCGAGTTTCGTATTCACTTGTGTGCATCTGGTCATTTGCAGAAGATCGAGGTTGCAGTCGATTGTTGTATGTTATGTCGTACAGTCCCTATGATGAAAAGACACGGAAAAGTATCCGACTTCAGCCAATGAGATTCAGTAGCCAGTTTGCGACATAGTATTATAGATATCAAAATTATCCCCTTGTTACAAGTCATTTAAACAAGTGTATAAAGCGTTAAAAATATTGCACCATTCATTTCAAATACACCTTCATCGTGTATTTTTTGCTTGATCTCCGTTAAAAATTGTCTCTTTACGCCACTTTCAAAATGTTTCTCAACACTTTTCGCTCTCCATTCAACTAGGCGGGCAGCGTCTGGTCTGGATTTTTAAACACAATTCTCATGTTGTGATCACATGGTTCGTGACGTACACTGGTGATGCGCAGAACGAGTAAACATCTGTGCGCCGGACTAGCTCACCCATGATAGCATAGGGTTCCGCGGCCGGAGTCAGTATCTGCTTGGCTGTCCGGAATACGCCGCGTCGTAGGCACATGTGCCAATGTTTCGCCGGCAATACTGCGACTTTCTTCTGGGCAAAAAATATGAAATTTTGTTGGTTCAGAACGTTGGCACCAATGCCTTGGGACGCAGCGTCCCCCGGATAGCCAAGTGCGTCCCTAACATACCGTCGTAACTAGCGCTCCGCGTGCTAATGACGTGTGATTGTGCGCGTGCGCAGGCGGGGCCGGGGGCGGCGGCACCCGCCGCGCGTGCTGGCCAAGTCGCGGGAGCGCATGGTGCTGAAGAACGGCGAGTGCAACATCTCGCGGCGGCGCGTGCTCGGGTCGCAGCGCATGCGCCTGGTGCAGGACCTCTTCACGTCCATGGTGGACCTGCCGTGGCGCTGGATCCTGCTCATCCTCGGCATCAGCTTCTTCGGCTCGTGGCTCTTCTTCGGCGTGCTCTGGTGGATCGTGGCGTACGCCCACGGCGACCTCGAGCCCGACCACCTGCCGGCCATGCAGAAGGTACATTCAGAGGAACGAGCAATTTTTTCTCCGATTTAAAGGTAGTGGCACTTCGAAGTCACGAGCAGGAAGGAGATTGGGACATTGTTATCCGATTGGAAACTCCAATACTAAAGTCGTAACGAAGCTCCCGATTGTATGACAGTGTCCCCCTCTACTTCCAGCTTGTGACCTTGGAAGTCCCTCTATTTTTAAATCAGAATATAATCTCAGACGAGTTACCAGGGATGACGTGTACAAAGTATTATATAGTGTAATCATCCCTTGTTTTGTAACCAAACACTTTAATCAAAATACATATTTATTTTTATTCTTTTTTTCACTCTTTATTGCCCGATCAAAGAAACTATTCATTTCTATTGCTCGTGTATTCAAACGACAAACAAAATACATACATTTTTGCCCAATAAAAATTAATTCCATGGCCCCTAGTTTTCTTATTGAAAATATTCTATGTAATTTACTTATTTATGAGTGTATCTTAGATTTTGTATAAAATTAAAATTGAGTCTTCGATCTGCTCCTTTTAATGATATTTTCACATATGGCTTTCATTAACATGCCATCAAAACTGTATACCTTGGATTATAAAGAAGATAAATTTAAAAAAGTTGAAACAAAATTAAATTTCCATTATCTTATGTTGGATCACTGAATATAAAAAATTGCAGTTCCTTGTAAGTAGCACAATTGTTTTTCCTGATCAATGTTTCTGAAAATTAAATATTTTGGTTCTAATGAAACACAATTTTGTTCCTTAAAAAATTGAACTGAAGGCATCAATCATAAATGCCCGTGCTATGTGCCTAAATATTTACATCTGATCATATGAAAAGTATTTTTGTATTGGGTAAGTTGGGGATCGCAAGGCTCCTACCTTTGCTTATAAGAGCGTGAGACAGCGGCGCCCTGTCGTTGTGTTGCAGGAGAACAACTGGACGCCGTGCCTGACGGAGGTGTACAACTTCACGTCGTGCTTCCTGTTCAGTATGGAGAACCAGCACACGACGGGCTTCGGCGGGCGCGCGCCCACCGAGGAGTGCCCCGAGGCCATCTTCCTGATGTGCGCGCAGGCCATCGTGGGCGTGACGCTGCAGACGGCCATGCTGGGCATCGTCTTCGCCAAGATCATCCGCCCCAAGCAGCGCACGCGCACCATCCTCTTCAGCGACAACGCCGTCGTCTGCCTGCGCGACGGCGCGCTCTGCCTCATGTTCCGGCTGGCGGACATGCGCAAGTACGTTAAGCTTGCTTCTCCACTGCCTGCCCCTCTCTCATACTCTCACTTTCTCTCACTCTCTCTCTCTTTCTCTCACTCTCTCTCTCTCACTCTCTCACTCTCTCACTCTCTCTCACTCTCTCTCACTCTCTCTCTTTCTCTCTCTTTCTCCCTCTTTCTCCCTCTTTCTCTCTCTTTCTCTCTCTTTCTCTCTCTTTCTCTCTCTTTCTCTCTCTTTCTTTCTCTTTCTCTCTCTTTCTCTCTCTCTCCCTCTCCATGTCCTCTCTCCGCTCTCTCTCCCCTCTATCATCTCTCTCCGCTCTCTCCTCTCTCTCTCCTTTCTCTCCTCTCTCTCTCCTTTCTCTCCTCTCTCTCCTCTCTCCGCTCTCTCTCCTCTATCTCTTCTCTCGTCACAATCAGTATTCACACAAATGTGAGATTCCTACGTATCTCAACATGTCTTTCTTGCCTTTCTTTTATTATCATAGATATTAAAATAGTTTTGTTTTAAATTGTGGTTATTTGGTATAGTGGTTGCAATGTGTCGTGCTCTTTTGATGAAACATACGTATTAAGTATTTTTCTCAAGAAACATCCCGCGAACCGAAGCAATGGGCCGTTGCTCACGTCCAAGTACTT